AAGCTAATTGGCATGTTTATAATATGTTCAAACTTCGTCTTATTTTGCATAAGTAAGCAATTTTTGCCTAAGGATAGTTTAAGTGTTTACACCTTAACTTCCAGAGCTTAGGAAACTTCAAAACAAAAGAAAAAATGAAAACAAACTTACTTTTCTCGAAATTTGTTTATTAACATGATATTTTCTCATCATTAAGAAATGAATAATAAATTTTTTACATGATTTTTATATGATTTTTCATACAGTAAAAAGATATGTAAATTTTTTATACATTTCTGATTTAAACTTATTAAATAAAATCATGTTATAAATAAAAGTTATAAATTTATTCATATGTATGTAGGAAATAATCTTTATTAATGAATTTCCAGTTATTTAATTATTATATATTTAGGAAATAATATTTGTATAATTTAGTTTAGTTATTGTTCATTAAATGTTCAACTATTATTACAATATAACTTCAAACAATCTCCGACATTAACTTCCCACAACTACCGACTCTGCTTCTTTTCTGCTTCGTTCCTTTGCTAAACGCAGAGTTGCCAAGTCTGAGAATTACTGCCCACATGTATAATAATATGAATAAACATACCACAACAGTAGTGGGTGCTGCATGGCTTAAAATACTTACTAATTGCGAATAAAAGAGTGTCTGTTTTTACTACTTCTACAAAACAAACAAACGTCACTACTGAGTCGTTCTAAGAAATATTTACGAGAGTTAAATAACAATAAAGAAACACACAGAACAACACATCTGAAATATTAAGGTTTTCCTGAAACTAAAAAAATTTCAAAAATTTCAGATGTTAAAAATATAAATGAAATTTCAGATACAAGTCTATGTTTCAAAATAAATTATTTCATTTCACTGCAACCGCCAAGTTTCAAGTTTTTTAGAGCTCATTAAATATATTAAATTGTATTTAATCAATGAAATATATATGTTAATAGTGTGAGTCCCCAATTTAGTTAAGCAATTTCCTAGTTTTATTCCTACGTTTAACTTAGACAACACTTAGAAAATGTATAATGTAGAGTGCTTTCAATCCCGCTTTGTTCCTGTGAAACTAAATGTCAAAACTTCTTGTAAACTTTTTTTTATATATATATTTGTATGTAAGTAGCTCTATATAATTTATAAGCAATGAAAAGTTTGCATAAATCCTGATTTAAACCCTCGAGTCATGAAAAAGGTATAACTAAGTCGTCTAATTACACTTAATAATGAAATTTATTAGTTATTCTTTTCTACGCAGAAAAAAACTAAGCGCAGAATGTTAAAATCACAGCTTTTAAAAGCTATGCCCTGGTTTGGCATAGATATCGGCGGAACTCTAACGAAATTAGTATATTTTGAGCCGAAAGACATAAGTTCAATTAAATTAGATAAAGAAGTTGAAGTATTAAAAACTATAAAAAAATATTTAATGAAAAAATCTGCTTATGGCAAAACTGGACACCGGGACACACATTTACAAATGGACAATATTGACATTCGGAAACGTTCAGGCTCTTTACATTTCATACGATTTCAGACCACAGATATGTGTGAGTTTTTATCATTGGTAAAACGAAAGAGTATGGCTTGTTTATTAAAAACAATTTTGGCAACTGGTGGAGGAGCTTTTAAATTTGAAGATGATTTTCGGAAGGAATTAAATCTAGATCTTAGTAAAATTGATGAAGTGGATGCGTTAATTAAAGGAATTTTTTTCGCGGAAGATCAAAATCGCTCTGAATGTTATTATTATGAAAATTGCGCGAACATAACGGAATGTGAAAAGAGAGCATTTGATTTTTCAAAATCATATCCTTTCATACTTGTTAATATTGGATCTGGTGTATCAATTTTAGCAGTACATGGATCGGATAACTATGAGCGAGTTTCTGGTAGCAGTTTAGGTGGTGGTACATTTCTTGGATTATGTTCTCTTTTGACGGGTTGCAAAACATTTGAAGAAGCAATAGAACTCGCCACAGCAGGTGATAATAAAAAAGTTGATAAATTAGTAAGAGATATTTATGGTGGCGATTATGAACGATTTCAACTTAAAGCTGATTTTATAGCGTCAAGTTTTGGACAGATGCATTCTTCCGAAAAAATTTCAGATGTCTCACGGCAAGATCTAGCTAATGCAACTCTAGTGACAATAACTATAAATATTGCTCATATCGCAAGATTATGCGCTCTATATGCAAAAATAGATAAAGTTGTTTTTATCGGAAACTTCTTACGTATTAATTCAACATCTGAAAAATTCTTAGCACATGCAATGCATGTATGGTCAGAAGGAAAGATGGAAGCAATATTTTTACACCATGAAGGATATTTCGGTGCCTTGGGTTGTTTATTGCAAATGAATAAAGAAATCTAATCTTCACAAAATGTCATGTTTTTCTGTTGTACAAAAAAACGTAAAATATTAGTATCTAATTACTGAATATTATTATATTTCCAATCTGCGCATGATAAATATTTTTACTGAAGTTTTATTTGTATATAAAAAATTTATTTAGAATAAATCACGAAAAGTAAGGATATTATTCCTGAACAGTAATTGTTGTAATTGTTAATGAGTTTAGAATTGGAACTAGAAAGAATTTAGAGCTCTGATTAGTGTGAAAGTCTGTGACTATAGTTCATCTTTCAAACAAAAACCATTTCTAACTGAAATCAAACCACACAGCTTTTTGAATGAATGCTATAATAATCCTCTGAAGTATTTTGCCATCAAACAAAAAGTAACACCTGAACTAATACTCTCCTTTAGTTACTTTTTAACGTCAGACAATCACCAAATTAGTAGTAATATAGTTACTAGTTACCATATAACTAGTACTCTTATCTAATCTCACGCAGAGACAACATTCTCATTTCTTAAAAACGTATGTCATATGATTAATTGGACCGTGCTGACTTAAGATCAAGACTGCAAGCTGTCTAAGGACTGCTCTACTGAGAATAGATACCTTGTTGCAATTGTAAGGACGAGTTAACTCTTTAATTTAGCAAAAAGTCCATTTGTAATGTCAATAGTAATTGCTTTCTTTTCAGTTTTTTATTAATAACTTAATTCTTGACCACCTGTTTTCACAATAAGACTACTGTTTCCAGAAATGTGTAATTAATTCACTTTTTGCAATATGAACTCACTGATATTTTATATAAATATAAACATTGATAGGCGCCTAGCAGAAATTCACCATATATTTGCTTGCAGCCCAAGAATTTGTTTTGATTGTCGCCTAACTATTTTTGTAGGTGACGTTTGCTCCTTCGTGGAAGCTGAACCTCATTAGCATTAACCTGCTGTTATCCAATATGTCTTTTTACTCCACACAAATAAGTAAATAACAATGGTAGGTTAATTTTTCAAAGAGTACTCTTAGAAGTGATATCATAGATAAGTTTTAAGTTTTGAATACAGATACTTCCATTATCAACCATAAAAGCTCTGTAGTATTTCGATTATATTGATAACGCACCCAAACAAGGGACGTGGATAGATATGCAAAGATATAAGAGCCAACATAAAATTGAGGCATATTAACTAATAACGATCAGTGACGGAATACATAAGTAATACTTCAAGCTTTTTCTATTTAACTGCAATTTTGACAGAAGATGTTCGAAAGTACCCGATTTAGCAGACATATGGGTATATATTAGTCGAGGTCATGTTACTCTAAATAGTTCTTAACGTACCTCGTGAAATAACAGGGAAATATTGTTATTTTTAAACTTATTTCATTAATTTCGATAAATTGAAATATATATGATTGTGAAGATATTTTATTGTTAGTTGAAGTAATGGAAAATACGAAATATTTATTTTTGTTAATGCAATTATATGCTTGGTAAGCATTTCCATAGAAACTTTAACTACGAGTATTTTGTTTTATTTAAGAAATATCTCATGTAGCAAGTCGTACTTTTTGATCCTTTTGAATGTATTTAGGAAATGGTTTTAGGTACATTCACTGCAAGAATATAAATAACTTGTTTGGTTTTTTGTACCGTACGGAACTTAAAATATTTACGTTTCAACTACTTCAAGGGGTTTCAAATAAAATTTCTCAAAAATATTTGGTAAACAAGTTTTCTAAAATGCAAAAGGGAAATAAAACTAAAAATAAATATTTTCATCGCAATATCTTTTCAAATGCAATTCACCCAAGTATACTAATTTTACGCACACAATTATAATTTATTTATTTAAATTTTTGTACTTAAATTTTTTTGAGTGTAACTTATGTATTTTAATGTTGAAAACAATAATAGGTATATATTATATAAACAATTAAGTGTTATACTCATAAACTTATAGTATTGAAAGAACCTGTTTTACACATAAGAAAAAAAAATTTGAACTTATAAGGCGCCGTTGGGTTCGCATAGACACCTATACCTATGGAGTATACATAATTATAATAAAAACTAACAGATACTTCCTTTGATCAAGCATTGCTGCAAGTTCTATGAAGTTGTTTGATTGTTCATTTTGAAGAGATTTAACTTCTAAAGTGCCCATTACAACATCGCCCACTGTCAGCGGACGATGTTGTCGCTTACCATTACACATCAAATTTTTCGACAATTTCTTAAACACCCTAAAATTAGCATACTTCATTGTTAGCTACCATTTTGAAGAAGAAACGTCTGGAGACAGATTGAACCATCACATATCAAGGCAACATTGGCTAAAAGTCTACCGCAAAAAAACAAGCACTTTGTAAATTTAAATAAAGATAGGGTTAATCTGTTGATATATTCATTTCAAGACCGATGTATGATAGACATACATGCGACATGATAAAGTATACTTAATAGACAATCAATAGAAAATGTCAATGAACGACGTTTCAATTAACAGATCTAAGCACAGTTAACTCAACAGGGCTTTATTTTTGTAGTGGAAGAAGAGAGAGAAAAGAAAAGACAAAATTTCAACAAAAATTTTTCCATTACCCTTCACGATGGAACTCTTATATTAATCAAAATAATTAAAATTTTTGTTTTTAACAAAATAACACAATATGTCAGACATCACGTGACACAACGTTGGTTTTACAATAAAGGAACGGAAAGCTCATAACTTCACATGATGGCTTTAAGAATTGATCATCAGTGTAATGAGATATAATTTCTATGGAGATATGTGGAGTCACTTAAGAAGTAATATAAAGCTCCATGCGTATAAAAGTAGAATTTCCGAATTATATTTCGTTTGAGCTATCCACTATCTTAGCCACTCGGTTTTCCCGATTGTATTTCACTAGAGTCAGCCGCAGTATATATGTATATCAAAATTAAGGTATTCAGATTTTATCAGATAATAATTAAACTATTTTTGTGGGCAGTACCATGATATCGATGTGTTCCATTTTACTTCAAACCCAAAAGCTTCAAGGAAAATACTCTTCGCGTGCAGAAATATACACTTTTTACTCAATGGCAAGTATTTGCTACACAACTGAAACTGGTACTACACCCACTTATATTTAAAGCAAGGTATCAGAATAGAATGAAAGAAACGTTGAAGAATTAATACGAAAGAGCAAAAAGTTCATATGGTAAATTTATGAATCCAAATCTGGGTTTCAACTTTACCCGTAAAAATCACACTGGCGTATATTTTTACTATA